GAAAACCGGCCTACCGGCCGGCTCTGATTGTCTTCACCAATACACATTCATCACACCCACACGGCAAGCAACCAGTGTTGGGGAGCAATCCCCCTCTCCAAAGGGGAACGCATGGCTTTGGATCCTTCGCTGCGCGATCGAGTTGACCCGGAAGCTGACTTATTTGACTGGGAATTCGATACGCACGGGGATCGAGAGTGCCTGGCAGGCAATGGAGGGAAAAGCTGTCTGTTGACGCTGTTGCCTGATGGTTACGGTCAGAACATGCAGTGGCCAGTTTGTTCATTCGGCGATTGGAATGATATGCGCCCAGTGAATAGTCCGAAGCTCGAATTTTGGATTGAGAATGCTTTCCGTTGGACACACGAAAAGCAGAGAGAAATAAGCTTCGCTACCACTACTATTGGATCAAGTTGTTGCCATCTTTTTCTTTATTTGACGCAGGCAGAAAATACTTCGTTCATGGCAAATACAAGGTAGAAGAAGAGGAGAGCTATTATGATGATTATACGATTCCAGTGGAAGAATCCATAATATGGGGTACGATTGTTCCGACACATTCTGGTCGCATCCTTTCTGCTTTTTTTCAAACACACCATCTATGGACCAAGGAAATGCTCCTTTTCAGAGGTAAGCCGGAGTTTCTTGGCCTGAATAAAGCGCCTTTTGTGTTGGAACGCCTTGACAGACCGCTTCAGCTCAGAATTCTTGGCCTATCAATGTTGGAAACCAAGATTTACATCTACAATAACATGCAGAATGCCCAGAAAGATTGTGCTGGGGACACTTGTTCGGAGCTGTTATGTCAGATGAACCAGAACCGCTTTGAAAAGGGCGAGGGTTGGCCCCTTGGTTTAATGGGGGGCGTTTTGGCCAATAAATATGAGCGTCTTGCTATGCCGTTCTGTAGCCTAGAAGAGAACAATGTGATGCACGCTGGTGAAGAGTTTACAATGTTGAGCTTTCATGGTACAGTACCAGGTGCTCCACCGCCGATTCCCGGAAAGTCGAGGATGCACTCTGTGCTTTATACCAAAGTGGGGCCTCTTGATCCCAACGGTCACATAGTGCCATCATTCCACTTCAAACAAAAGGAGCTGACGATCGGCATGTTTCACATTCCAGAATTTGTCAGTGCTGCTGCTGCGAATTGGATTAACGTCGTTCGTACAGGATTTCATTTCATGGTCTGAATTCAAAACTTCGATTGGGGATCACATCGGCCATTTCCTTCTAATTGGCGCTGAGCGCCATCCGGCTCAGTCGCTCCCATCATGGGCATTGGTGTTGTTTACATCATGCCTACCTGCTCAATTGGTTTCATCATGCGCGTTGGTATTGGTTCCATCATATGATTGGTACCTATGTTTCTGTAAAAGAATTATTCCTGTAAGTGTCGCAGCATGGTCGGTAGTATGTCCCCCCTTTCCCAGGCTCAGAAGCCATCAACGATGGCACTGACAAATTCTGGAATGTGAAACATGCCGATCGTCAGCAACAGTTGTTATGAAAAAAAAAGAACACGATTACAAAATATTAGCACGATGTTTTAGTGTCCCATACACAGAACGAACCATGAATTATCCGAGAATCCGACAAAAGATCCCCGCGGCCGTTTATAATTATTTGACAGCTATGTCGGACGCCGAGGCGCCGGATATGGACGGTAAACTACAGGTTTATCGTCTAGAGAAGCGCAAGGGAGAAGTGGATGATGCCAATATCATCGCGGGCAAGCGCGTCCGTCCACAGGGTCCCGCGCCTATCGTATCGGCTGCCCCACGGACAGTTGTGTTCCAATGCCAGTGATGTTACGGCGATGTAGACTCACACGAAATAGCGGTTTGTTTCCGCTTGTACCAAAATGCCGAATAAGCTCCCCACGAGGGGTGTTGAACAAGTCTTCGCGTGATGCAATTTGCACGTGCCGCTGCAACGAAGGGTACCGCACGAGGAGATCGTTGAGAACACGCTGATCGTGCGCGTAATTGCCAAGGTATGGCAAGCGTAGTATAACATAAGTGGTACGAGTCGGTTTGATAAGCATGAACCCAAGATTTATTAGTGTGTTATTAAG